AGCAAATAATAACTCACGAGTATGAAAATATAAAGTATCATTAATTTTTAAAATTAATAAATATAAAATAAATTTTTAGAGAAAAAAAAAATATTAGAAAATAATATTAAATTAATTATATTAATTTTAATTTACAAATATCATAAAATACACTAATTTTTAAGTAATAATATAAAATTAATTAAAAAGCTGAAAATTAATTAAATTACAAAATTAAAGTCAAAGATTTTATAATTTAATAATAAACATATTTTTAATTCAATAATTAACGCATATTAAATTCGACTCAGTGAATTTAAAACGAATTTCATAATTATATTATAAAATGAAAATTGAGGTAGTAAAATATTTGAAAAAAAAAAAATATTTTATACTTTTTGTAAGAGTAAAAGAAAAGCTTTGTTATCTAAGGTGGATTTTTTTTTTATTTTCTCTTTCCTCTCCATTACTTGATTACTTTCTTTTCGGTTTTGTCAGTAGTCTTACTTTATGTATTAAATACAAGAAAAAAAAAAGAAAAATTTGCTTAATATCCCTCAGTGTGTGATAAGCTTTTAGGATAAAAGTCTGAATTTTTTTTTTTTTTTTTTTGCTTTCTAAAGAGGGAAAAAAAGAACATTTACAGTGGGTTCTTTGCTGCGTTGAATGTCGAGCTAGAAGGACGTGTGCGCATACGTATTATTTTCTACATGTTACCGCAACAACGTTCAGACAAAAGAAGACAAAGTCAAAAGAGTAGTTTTATATGGTGTTTCCGTGAGGTTTCTGCCGTTCTTTTAAGTAACTTCTACTTCATGTTAAATTGACACAAGTCGGTCATAAAAAGAAGGAAAAAAAAAAATTTACTTCATTAAAAATGTTTAAAAAAAGCTTTCTTTGTTAATAAATTCTATTATTCTTGGAAATATATATTATTCTTATGTATTAAGAATTTTATATTTATTTTAATTAAATTTTTAGTATAGTTAATAATTTTCGGTAATTTTTTTTTTAATCTTACAACAATTTTTCGTAATTTGCTTTCTCTTAATCTTAAACAAATATTTATTTTTGGTAATGAACTTAAAATTCTTTTTAATGTTTACTATTATTTTTAATATTTTTTTAGCTATAAAATTTTTTTTTTATTATTGATTTTTTATTTATTTAAAAAAAATTTTATTAATAATTATTGAATTGGTAAAAATAGTTAAATAATTTTTATAAATTTAATATTTTGCAAAATAATGATAATAAGAGGGAAATCCCGATAATTTCGGTGGTTGATGGTGCAGTAAGCATATGTGTAAATTGACGCTGTTCGGTTCATTACTCATCCTTCGCGTCAACCCTGACCTGGTGTATGCATGAATCAAGAATAACCGAGATCTAACAAGCGACAACACACAAAAGAAAATTTGCTCACTACTTTTAAAATGCGACAACTTTAAAGATATCATATTTTCAAAAAAAAAAAAAAAAAAAAGTTGTTTTTGAACACAAATTCCATTGAAAAAGAAATTTATTTTTTAAAATCCTTTTTCAAAATTTTTTTTTTTTTTTAAAAACTCCCTTTAAAAAATTACTTTCACAAGAATTCACTTTTAAAAATATGAATTTAAAAAAAATTTCACTTCTTTAAAAATTAATTTAAAAAAAAATTAATTTCAAAAAAATTCACTTCTTTAAAAGTTAATTTCAAAAAAAATTAATTTTAAAAAAGTTCCTTTAAAAAAGTTTGAAAAAATTCCTATATATATATTAAAAATTTCCATTAGAAAAATTCCTCTTTTAAAAAAAAATATTCCATTTTAAAACAATAAATTACTTGCCTCGCAAATACAAAAAAAAAATTTTCTCTTCACACTCCAATAAACTTTTTTTTTAAAAAAAAAAGAAGAACCACTTGAAATCTAAATAGAAATTTATTTTTTCATTCCTGAAGTGAAATATTCTATATATATAAAAAAGATTTTATTTAATACTTGAAAGAAAAATTGGTTAAAATCAGCCTATCAAGAGGGAAAGTCCACACGAAGAAGATGGACTGGCAAGCAGCCAATCGGGTGACCCATATTTGTTCGAGGTGATAGTGGACCATACGTATATATATATATATATATATATATTTTCTCTACGTGATCGGATAATCCATGGATTTTAGAAAATGTGAAAACTTCTCAAACGCCATTTTTCAAATATATAATAACGAATTAAGAAAAAAAAAATCCTCTTTTTTTTCTCAAAAATTATTTTTGAATAAACTTGAAAAAAAAAATTTATTTTGTTTTTAATTTAAAAACTATATTTTTAACTTAAAAAAAATTCAAGACAAATATCTATCACCTTTTATACGTATATATATAATATATATATATATATATATATATATATATATATATATATATATATATGTGAAGAAAATGGATATAACACACTTGTGATGTCTCGGCACTTTCTGTCTGCTTTACGACTTACTGTAAAATTTATGGCCATGGTGTGTCAGCTGCTATATTGTGTGTGAGAAAATTTCGTGTGCGTCCTCGACAATAATATATCGTGTTATCATAAATTCATTTACGAACGAATGAGACACTTGCACTTGTTACAATATTGTATAAACAACACGTACACGATAAAAGTTAGCAATCCGATTGTTTTGAGAAATTTTCTTTTTACTTAATGTGTAAAGCTAAAATTCTCGAAAATTTTTTTTTTTTTTAAATAAATAATACAGTTCCAATTATTATAATTCTATTAATTATATTTAAATGCAATTATTTATAAAAAAATATACAAATTTATTATACAAATATTAAAAATTATAAAAATGAATAATAACTATTCAAATGATTTATAATTTAAAATGAATTTGTTTTATTATTATTTATAATAATATATATTATTAATATATATTATTATTTATAATAATATATATTATTAAATATATAGAATTAATTTATGTTTATAATAATAATTTTATAAAACTGAATAATAACTATTAAAATTATTTTTTTTTTTTGCTCAATTTGATTTAATTAATTTTAATCCAACAAAAAAAATTTATTCTAAAATTATTTAAACAATGACGTCAAAAATTTTTTTTTTGTTTTCTTTCGAGAAATATTTATATAGAGAAATACGTCAAAAGTTTAATTATGTAAATTATATTGAATATCATTTATTTTATTTATCAAATTACGAAATTTTGGAAAAATTAATATCTGACGTAGGTTTTCTATTGTTATTTTTTCTATACTATTTACAATTGTTATTTACTATTCTAATTTTCCGTCTCATATTTCTCAATATGAAATTAAATAGTAATACAGTTATATTTCTTTTAATTATTATTTAAAATAATATAACATTAAAAATTTTTCTATCAGTATTATGAAAATAATTGTCGGAAGAAAACCTAGCAATTCTAGTATTGTTTTGAGATCAATTTTTTTTTTTTTTTAATAGTCTAATTGAAAAATGAAAATGTGTACAAAAGTGTTGGTGTTTATTTTCATTTTCATGCAAATAAATAATTTTTGTTTATCAAAAGATTTAGTAAATTATAGAGTTAATAAGACAAAGGTGAGATTAAAAAAAATTTAATAAGCATTTTCAAAATTAATTTTTATCATTGATTCTTAAATTTTTTTGGGAATTTTAATAATTATAATTCAAATTCAAATTATATTTTCGTAATTATTTACAAGCAATGATCAATTATTATAATTTGCATTCTAAAAAAGAAAATGTAATTTATTTTTACATAAAAAATAATTTCTATTCTCTTGATTAGAATTTTTATTTTATTTTTTTTGGTTTTATTTGGTTTTTTTTAATTTAGTATTTTTATTCAATATTTTTATTTACTTTTTTAATTCAGTATTTTTATTCAATATTTTTATTCATAATTTTTATAAAAAAAAACAAAATAAATTTTTCAGACACAACCATTTTGGAATCAGGTAGAAAATTTGAAAATTAAACCACCTGCATTCAATATTTTTACCCTTTACGATAATTTGGGAATAATAAATAAATTTTTAAAGCCAAAATATGAAAAACTATTTATCATAATAGCACAAGATATGAGAGATAGTATAAAATTAGCTGAATTATTAAGTAACAATCAAAGACTATTACCTGAGAAAAAATCATATTTTTCATCAAATGAAAAATTCATCTACAATGAAATGATAAAAAATTATTATCTATATTACAATAAGGGAACATATATTTTTGTCTATCCTAAAAATGTTCAAAATGAAATATTAGCAATTTATTTGACAAAAAAAATTCTCGAATTAACAGAAGAATTAAAAATCACACTAACATGTTCAGAGAAAATTGATAAAATTACAATTAATTCAATGTTTCACTATGGTTTGGAAATATTAAATTATGACATTTTAAATCACTATAATGAAATAAGTGAAAAAATTAATTTCCTTCCATTAAGTGTAAAAGATAAAAATAAATTTATCATCGACATAAAGAAAGTAGAAAATTATTTTTATGAAAATTTTTCAAGATTTGGAACATCTTTGAAAAATGATGAATTTTTTAATAATATAAATAATAATTTTGAAAAATTATCTGCTAAAGAACAAATGGAATATCTTTTAATTGGACCATTTCTTGAGGATAAAAAAAGAAATCTCACATATAAAATGAATATTTTAATTAAAAATCCACAAAGAATTCTTGAAACAAATTATTTGTCAATAAATAGTGATTTAATTAAAATTAATACATTTTTAAAATTTGTTGATATTAATGATAATTTAAAATCATTAGCAAAAAAAGGTCCTTTACTGAAATTTAATTTAGATTTTTCTTCAATGAATCAATCATCGCTAAAGGGTATTTTAATATATTTAGATTGGATAAATAAATTTTATAAAAAAATTATGTCAAATAAACCAAAAGACAATGAAATTATTGAGAAATTTATGAAAAAATTTTGTAATAATAATAAATTTGAAAATTTGGGAATTGTTTGTTTTATCAGATATATGAATAATGATATTTATACAGAGGCATTAAAATGGATTAGTAAATCAATATTTACTGTAAATTATTCTCAAATTGAAGAAGAATGGTTCGAGAAATTAGTATCAATGTATAATAATAAAATATCAAATCAAGATTTGTATGAGGAGATATTGAATATTAATGAAAAACAAGAAATAATGAAACAAGTTTTTTTCACCGTTAACAATTTACTAAATCCACAATTTATTCATTTATGCTCACCACTAAAGAATGAAACATACAAATTGAATATTAAAGGAGAATTTTTAATTTTTAGTCAAATTTTATATAAAAATTATTGTCCCGGTAAAGTGATATTTTTGGAATTATTGGCATTGGATAAAATTATTATCGATGAAGATTTAGTTAGTCATGATATAAAACAAATTATTATAATTGCACCAATTTGGGAAATTGTTCAGCAAAGAATTATTAATTTAGATGGTGCTTCAGAATATCAAAAATTGGTAAGTGAAAAATATTTCAGTGTTCATGAATTTCTCATAAAAATAATTAAATTACAATTTTTATTTTATATTATTTTATTAGAAATTTATTTTTTAGAGAAATTATCAATTTTCGAATTCAAAATTTAACAGATTTCTTTTTTATACGAATTTTTACATAACAAAATTTTTAGCTATCGAATTTTTATTTGGCAGAATTTTTATTTTACAGTTATTTTCATTAGAGGATTTTTTATTATAGAAGAATTTTAATTTAAGTGAATTTTAATTTAACAGAATTTTTATTCAATTAAATTTTATCTGATTCGAGTTTTTCAATGACAAGTATTCCAATTCATCGAATTTTTATTTGTCCGAATTTTTATTTGTTCGAATTTTTATTTGTCCAAATTTTTATTTATACTAATTTTTATTTATACTAATTTTTATTTGTCCGAATTATTATATGTTAGAATTTTTATTTGTCCGAATTTTTATTTGACCGAATTTTTATTTGTTCAAATTTTTATTTATACTAGTTTTAATTTGTCCGAATTTTTATTTGTTCTAATTTTTATTTGTCCGAATTTTTATTTGACCGAATTTTTATTTGTTCAAATTTTTATTTATACTACTTTTAATTTGTTCGAATTTTTATTTGTCCGATTTTTTATTTATACTAATTTTTATTTGTCCGAATTTTTATTTATACGAATTTTTATTTGTCCGAATTTTTATTTATACGAATTTTTATTTGTTCGAATTTTTATTTATACTAATTTTTATTTGTCCGAATTTTTATTTATACGAATTTTTATTTGTCCGAATTTTTATTCAATTAAATTTTATCTGATTCGAGTTTTTCAATGATAAATATTCCAATTCATCGAATTTTTATTCAATTAAATTTTATCTGATTCGAGTTTTTCAATGACAATTATTCCAATTCATCGAATTTTTATTTGACCGAATTTTTATTTGTCCAAATTTTTATTTAGGTATACTAATTTTTATTTGTCCAAATTTTTATTTATACTAATTTTTATTTGTCCGAATTTTTATTTGTTCGAATTTTTATTTGTCCGAATTTTTATTTATACGAATTTTTATTTGTCTGAATTTTTATTTGTCCGAATTTTTATTTGTTCGAATTTTTATTTGTCCGAATTTTTATTTGTTCAAATTTTTATTTATACTACTTTTAATTTGTTCGAATTTTTATTTGTCCGATTTTTTATTTGTTCGAATTTTTATTTATACTAATTTTTATTTGTCCGAATTTTTATTTATACGAATTTTTATTTGTCCGAATTTTTATTCAATTAAATTTTATCTGATTCGAGTTTTTCAATGACAAATATTCCAATTCATCGAATTTTTATTCAATTAAATTTTATCTGATTCGAGTTTTTCAATGACAATTATTCCAATTCATCGAATTTTTATTTGACCGAATTTTTATTTGTCCGAATTTTTTTTGTTCGAATCTTTATTTGTCCAAATTTTTATTTATACGAATTTTTATTTGTCCGAATTTTTATTTGTTCGAATTTTTATTTGTCCGAATTTTTATTTATACGAATTTTTGAATTCGTGATTGGTGAATTTTAAAAAATTGTTCCAAGATCTTTCTGTCGATTGTTTGTTCGGACATTTGTAATTTCGGACAAATAAAAATTCGGCGTCTTTAAAATTCTATCAATTAAAAATTCGTATAATAAAAATTCGGATAATTTAAAATTTTGTCATTTAAAAATTCGAATCACATAAAATTCAATTGAATGGTAATTCTGTTAAATTAAAATTCGGTCAATTTAAAATTCTCCTAAATATAAAAAGTCATGTAAATAAAATGACATATAAAATAAAAATTATGCCAAACAAAAAATTTGTTAGCTAAAAATTTTATTAAATAAAAATTATAATTCAAAAGAATTAAAAATATAATTAAAAATGAAAATTCGGTTAAAAAAATAATTATTTCTTTAAATTAAAGAAAACTTTTCTTTGACCCTATTTAAAAATAAAAAATTATGTTATACTATTTTCTTTAAAAAAATTTTTTTTTTTTCTAGGAAGTTCAAAGGATATACTTAAAGGATTATGAGGAACGTTTCGATGGTACACCGGGTATGGAGGGAAAAGCCGGTGGTACATTTTTGGGAATTATTGATAAAATTGTAAGAGGAGAAAATTTATTAATTTCCTGTAATGGTGGTAGAGGAGGCGATGGAAGTGATGGTTTAGATGGAATACAATTAATTGAGAATTCAAAAAATATCAATGTAATTCATTTAGGTATTGGTGGTAAGGGAGGAAAAGGTGGCAATCATGGTGAAATAAAATTTTATTTTCTAAATGATTCAATAAATTTAAATATAAAAAAATCAACTCGAAATGGCGTTGATGGTAAATCAGGAATTAATGGCATAATGCAAATATCACACGATTTTCAATCAATATATCGTATGGACTATTATATTGAACATGTAAAAAAATTAACATCCAAAAGAAGAATTGAAAATTTTGATTTAATTACTAATAATTTTATTACAACTGTAACGAATTATAGAAAATATGTTATTGATACAACAATTAAAAATGGTAAAATCATACATGGGAATTTGTATAAAAAATTAAATAACGTGATTCTTTTGCAAAATATCACTGCAATAAATTTTTTACAAGAATTAATTGATATTGAATATTATTATTCGATGGAATTAAATGAAACTGTTAAAAATTTATTGTACACGGGAATACTAGAAGGAATTGCATTCTATAAAAGGGAAACAATTATTGATACTGAGTATAGAACATTACTTTCGAGATTATATGACATGACATGGAGAAAGGTAAATGAATTTGATAATCCGGCTATTGTTAATATTCAAGTTTACTTGGAACAAAGTATTGAGAATGGTGAGAAATTAAAAAATTTTCAAATTCGTCAAAAATTACAAGAAATTGGTAATAATTTTAAAGCAATATTCGAAGAAGAAATTAAGGAAGCTGAAAAATTAATTGACATGAATTTGAAAATTTATTTAGATGAACGAATTAATGATTTAAATGATGAAATACCAAAATTAATTAATGAAATTGATGAAATGATAACAATGAAGAAGGGTGAAATTGAAAAATTAAGGAATATAAAAAAGGAACTTAATGGTAAATTAATTTTAAGGAGTATTTTCACAATTTTTCAATTTTTACTTTTAGGATTATCATTTATAAATCCTGTTTGTGCAGCAATTGCCGGTGTATTAAGCGCAGGTATTGTAATTGCTGATGAAATTATTTTAGACAATGACGATGATGTAATATACAATGAAATTAAATTACCCGAAGCAGTTAATGAATTTGTCGATACATCTATTTTATTATACGCAGAGCTAGTGCAACAAGAATTAAATATTATTCAAGAACAATTAAATGAAATAAAAACCAAAAAAAATGAATTATCACTTAATGATGAGGAGGCAAAACCATTAATTGATGTTGATAAATCAGTAAATAGTCAATGTATAAAAAATTCACGACAACCAATATCACGACGTCAATGTATGATGAAAATTTTAAAAAGAAAAGAAATTAAATGGTCCAAAAAAGATAGTGACAAAAAAAATAGAAAATACAAAAAATCATTGAATATTATAAAATCATCAATGGGTTCATTAGAGATTGTTAATTTATCTATTGATAGATTTAATAAACATTTTAATGATATTTCATCATCAAATCAAATTGATGGACAAATAATTGAACAAGAAAATAGTATAAAACAATTGGAGAATTTTAAAAATAATTTATATGAAAATTTTGGTAATCAAATTGATCGTATACGAAGGGATATACGTAGGAATGTTGATGGATATGCAATATCATCGCGTGCATTACTTGAATATGAAAAATTTCAAATGCACGATTTTTTAAATAATATTTTAATTAAATTAAATATTTGGACAAAGGGATTTAAGGTGAATGATGAAATTACAGAAATAATGGAAAAAATAAAAAATGCTTTAAATTCAATTATTAAAATGCATAATTTAATTAGAGAATATAATATGAAAATAAAAAATGCTGATTTTTTAAAGGATACAGCATCTGTACCTTATGAGATTAATTATATAAAAGATAAGAAATTACTTCAAAATGTTACAAAATTAGAAGAGATTTATACTTCAAATCGTATTATTGGTGATTATAATAAATTAATAATTGCCATGAAATGTTATTCATATCCATTTATAAAAGAATTCACTGATTTTATCACACCACCACCTGTTAATAATGCTTTAATAAAAGCAAATATAATTGTTGATAAATTAAAACAATTAAAATTAAGTTTAAATAAAAAAATTGGAAGCGGTATATTATTTAAACAAATCAAAAAACGTAAATTTGGAAACGATGGTACTAAACCATTTTATAAATGGACCAATAAAGAGAATTCATTGGCAATTAAAAATATTCTTCAAGGGAAAAAAGTTCAATTATTTGCCAATATTTCACAAGCAGAAAATTTAAATGCTGTTAAATTTCGTGAAATAAAAATTATTCTTACATCATCAAATTTTGAAATTAATGAAAAATTACAAAATATCTTAAATGAATATGAAATATTTTTTCATCACAATGGTGATTCTTACTATAGATGTAGAAATAAAGTACATTTAATAAAATCCGGTTCTTTTGGTACATTACATCAGTTTGATATATCGAGAATAAGAAGAAGACGTTTTGTTTCTGATAATAATAATAATAATAGCAATGATTTTATTTTAAGTCCCTATGCAACATGGACAATACAAATTTATTCTGATAACAATGATAATGATTTTTATCCTTTAGAACAATTTGTAGATAATGTGAATGTAGAATTAGTTGGTGAAGGTCAATTTATGCCAGCGGATGAAAATATTTGTAATAATTATTTTTTAGATGATTATAGAAATGAAATGCAATTTTATTGATGAAATTTCTTTTTTTATCAGCAATGAAAATTGAAATTTTTAGAAATAATTTAATTAATAAAAAATTAAAAAATTATTAAATTATTTAAATTATTCAATTTATTTAAATTATTTAAATTATTTAAATTATTAATTATTAAATAATTAAAATAATTGAAGGTTAATTTATGCCAGGATGAAAATATTTGTGATAATTATTTTTTTTTAAGATTATAGAAAATAAATGGAATTTATCAATAAGAATTATTTTTTTTTGTTTTTTTTTATTATCGATGAAAATTAAAAATAATTAGAATTAAAAAAATTAATTCAAAGTAATTAATTAATTGAAATAATTGAAAATTTCTGCCAACGGATGAAAATATTTGTATAATAATAATTATTTTTTTACATGATTGTAAATAAGAAATATAATTTATTGATAAATAATAATTTTACTATATTGAAAATTAATCAAGTGTAAATAAAAAAAAAATTTTTTTTGCTTTTTTTTATTATCGATGAAAATTAAAAATAATTAGAATTTAGACTTAAATTAGACTTAAAAAAATTAATTCAAAATAATTAATTAATTGAAATAATTGAAAATTTATGCCAGCGAATGAAAATATTTGTATAATAATTATTTTTTTACATGATTATAAATAAGAAATATAATTTATTGATAAATATTAATTTTACTATATTGAAAATTAATCAAGTGTAAATAAAAAAAAAATTGTTTTCTTGTATTTTTGCAGACATATAAAATTAAAATAAAAAAAAAAAACATTAGCAAGTCGTATAAGTCACTTGTCGCAAATCCTAACATAAAAGCGAGGTCAATGGAAAATTGCACCACGAAGGTTTACGCCCTTGAAACGGGTAATCCCATTATTTCCTAAAGGCATTACCATCGAATTACTTTTATCAGAAAACAACAATTTCTCTCGAAAATCCACCTCATTTTTTCCCTTCTTATATTTGAAAAACAATTTTCTTTAAACTGAAATTAAAAAAAAAACAAAACAAAAAAAACATTTATTCCTTTTCGTCTGATTGAAAAAAACATTTTTTTTTACTTGTTTGTGTTCATTAATAAATATTATTTAATTATTTCAATATTATTATATATAATTTATTTAAATTGCAAATTTTATATTATTCTAATTTAATTGCAAAAAAAATTTTTTTTTTCTTTCTCAATTTAAATAAAATTCAGTTTTTCGAATTATGAAAAAAAAAGAATTTCTTTTGATCGTGTACAGCAAAAAGGGGGATATTTCTTTGAAGCAAAGTAGAAATTTCCTTTGATTCAACTTTCTTTTTTTTTCTACATCTTTACTCAATTATACGTTATTATTTTATTATGAAATATAGGGAAAAATTTATGTTTTATTTCAAAAAAAAAAAGTCAAGGAAAATTTTTGCAAAAATTGATAAAGGTGGAATTTCTTTTCTAAATATAATTTTTAAATCGTTTAATAATAAAAAATGGAATTAATATAAAATTTCGTATGTATATATATACATTTATATTATAAATTTATATTATTATTATAATTATTATTATAATTAATATTATTATTATTATTATTATTATTATTATTATTATTATTATTATTATATTTTTGATATTATATTAACATATATTTAAAACAGAATTTTTTTTTATAAATTTAGTAAAGAAGATTGAATAATAAATTAGAAAAGGATAGTAAATTAAAATATTAAAAGTGACTATTTTTGATTTTTAGAAAAAAAATTCGGTTGAAACAAGATATATTGTAATTTATGAGGAAACGAAATATTGCTCTTGGCATCGTATCTAGCTAAAGGCGGGTGTTTGGACTAGATTGAAGTCTTCCTCTTTTTAATATTTCATTCCAATAAGTGGAGATAATTTAAATAGTTCCATATATATATATTATCAAGGGAATTCAAAATGAAAAGTGTATGTGTGATAATTTTCCTTTATCCACATGTTCTATTCACATACAACATAATTAAAGATTCTAATCTTTCATTTATTATTATTATTATTCAGTAGTAAAAGCAATTAAGGTCAGACAAAAGTCTATACAAACTGCTTTATAATTCTTCGAATTTTTTATTCAGTATAGTAAAGGTAAATTTTTTCAAAACAGAACTGATTTATAATAATCGTAATTTTAGATTAAGTAGTAAAAGTATGTTTTAGTCAGACATTACCTGATTTTTAATTTTTTGGATTTTAGTTCAAAATTTTAATTTTAGTTCAAGTAGTAAAGTCAAGTTTCAGTCAGACAGAAAATTGTAATTGTTAACATAAGTAGTAGAAGTAAATTTTAGTCAGACAATAATTTAATTCTCGAGTAGTAAAAGTACTTTTTTAGTCAGACTTGTTTACATTATTTTAATTTTGATATAAGTAGGGAAAACTAATTTTAGTCAGACAGTATTATTAGAAAATTTTCTTATTCTAGATTAAATAGTAAATATTTTATTGAGAAAGATTTTAATTTAGCATAAGTAGTAAAAGTATTTTGCAGTCAGGCAGAATTTTTTTAATTTCTTTTGCTTAAGAGTCAGGAGTATAAGTAAATTTCAGTTAGAGAGAAAGTTTATAAAGTTTGCAATTTTAGCATTAGTATAGGAAAAATTGGTTATAGTTAGACATTATTGTTGAATTCTTTTGATTTTTAATTCAGTAGTATATGTAAATTTCAGTCAGACAAAAAAATTTAATTCCTGTTATTGAGAACATAAGTAGTAGAAAAAAATTTCAGTCGGACATAAAAATTTAATTCTTGAAATAGAAAAAGTAGTTTTCGGTAAAAAAACAGGAAATTTTAATATGAGTAGTAAAAGTAAGTTTTAGTCAGACAAAATTCAAAAATTCTTTCAATTCTCAAAATAAGTAGTAAAAGTAGATTATAGTCAGACCGAATTATTTAAATTCCAGAAATATTAAGATTAATCGTATTAAAATAGAAAAAAGTTATAACTTTTTGTAATTATGGCACAAGTATTAGTCAAATAAAAAAAAAACTAAAATGAAAATATTCCTAACAAGAATTTTTTCACATTATTAAATATTATTTCAAACGTGTTTGAAAAAGAGTTTTCTTCTTCTCGTAATTCAATCTCCAGATGAGACTGAGGGTTCAAAAAGTTTTCTTAACGAGAAATCGAACTGGTTTTGCTGGCTAAGATAAGAATTTGTTCTATAGTGTTTGAAACTTTTTTTGGTCTTGTTGCAAGCTTTCTAAAGCCATTAACTCTCTATATATAATAGTATTGTGTATATATACAGTTGTATTTGTATTGAAGTACGTGAGCGTTAATTCAATTTTAAAAAGTATTCATGAAAAATCCTCTCGAATTGAAACGAATTTTAAAATTCAAAAGTAAAAAAAAAATAATTTTTCCTGTAAGTCGAACAAATGTTTTAGAGTTGAAAGTACTTAAAGGAAATCCATAGGGAAAGAAGTGATCTGCGACTCGTACATCAGTAACAGAGAGAGAGAGGATACGAAAGTTGAGCCTCTCTTGAGCCATATTCGATCGGGACGACCGAGTAATTGGCTCTTCTGACGACGTCGACGTAAGTCAATTTAAATGCTAAACAAATTGAATGCCTCCAATTTTTTATCCGCTTCGTAATTTTCCATTCTTATTGTCGATTATTTTATCATGGAAAAAAGAAATCCCTTATTATAAAATTCAAAAAAAAAAAAAAACATTTTTCCTCTTTTTTTTTAATTCACATTTTTTTCTATATTATTTATTACAAATACATTTCATAATAATAAAGTATTCTCTTTTATTATTCTTTTGAATTTTCTAATTGAATTTTTTTTTTATTTTTTTATTTTTTCCCTCCCCTTTTTTTTCAATGCTGAGAAGGGAAAGATGTTTTGCTAACCTAAATTCATAAGTTTCTCATCATTCTTGCGCTGAACATTTATGAAACTTTCCTTTGTGTTCAACAAACACACAAAGCTGCTCAGTTTGCTCTATAATTTACAAGTTTTCAAGAAGCCTTCAAGATACATTTCTTTAATGTCTTTTGGGCAATGTATAAGCCAAGAGTTCAAAATATATGTATATATATATATATATATAAAGGGGAGTGAACCCAATATTCTCTCTTAGTAAGCTTGTTTATACATCATGTGCAAATATTCATTCCGAGGAAAATTTTACTATATATATATATATATGTTTCTTGTACGTGTTAAATCACTAGTTTCACAAGACTTGCCAGAAAGGTTTCTCTCTCCGGCAGCATTCTGTCTCCATTTCTCAACCGCAAATGTTTACTCGGTTCAAAAAAAAAAAAAAAAAAAATAGAAAAAGAAACCTATTTACCATATCAAATTGTACTGTTCTATTAGCATTGTGCGAGTTGAAAAGGAAATAAAAATTTCTGTCAATATAAGAGATTTAAATTTTAAAATGAAAAAAGGTTTTAAAATAAAAAAAGACTAAAAAAAAGTGTACTGTTACTTACAGAATTTATCAAATTTTACTCAAAAACCCCACTTTTTTTTTTGCTCAAAATTTTTTTGGGAATTGTGTTCATAGGGAGGAATATTGCCCACAAGAATTTAACTTGTGCCCGATTCTGGCACAAGAGAAAAAATTTTTTTAATATTTTTTAAAAGAAAAACATCATTTTTCTCAAAAAATACACTAGATATAAAAAAATGTCTCAGATAAAAGTTGTTCCTCGTTAAAAGACCTAAAAAAATGTCTGTTGTCATTTTTGTCCATCTTGTGTTTGTTCAACAATATTTGCAAAACATGGATTAAAAGCTCACATTTATTGCTTTTTAAATATCATTTAAAATAGTTTCATAAATCTGTTTGAAATAGTTCTTTTTTGTCTTTTTCCATAGCAACAATCAAATAATAATTAATAATCTTTACTGTCACAGAGGTTAAAATTGTTAATTTTTTGTGTTCAGTAAAATAATAGCGAGTATTAATATTAAGAAATTAAAGAATCAGTTATTATTTTTTAAAAAGCAAAATAA